TCCGGAGGAAGCAGTCATTCAGAAGCCCCGGATTGATTGATTGCCCGGTGCTAATCCACAGCTGTAACCAATCAAGCAGGTTTATCTCCGATCTCTGAAAGAACGGAGGATTTACAAGTGCCCTGCTGCAACCAAGGAAGTAACAGGGAGAGGTGGCTTACAATTTGAGGTTTGGCTGCAGAGCGTGGGGATGGGAGGGAGGGGTGCAACACTGCTCATTACCCCCAGGATTTACACTTTTACCCCATTTGGGATAATTTACCCCTGTTCCCTGACCACTGACCTACACCCTGCCTTCTCTTCCTTTGGCATCACAGCCAACCTGTGAGGTTGGTCAGGCAAAGATAGTGTATCTTGTCCATGCTCACCTCATTGGGCTTTATGGGGTTTGAACCCAGGTGCATGGACTACACCACAGAAGCCCAGTGGTCTGTGAAGCAGAGTAAGTTTACGATTTGTAGCTGTCTTGTGCTAACAGTACAGATACAACTATCTTTTTTCAAATGTTAAAATGTTTAGTTATTGATATTTACAACATATTCTGATAATGTATAATATTTTGATTCTTTAAAAACTCTGTTTTATGAAAGTGAGATATTGTGCTTCTATATCCACAATTCGAAATATCAGGAAATGGCCTGATATTACCATTTACAGAGAGACACCAAGCAAGGTGTCTCTTTGAAAACTCTGTTTTATGAAAGTGAGATATTGTGCTTCTATATCCACAATTCAAAATATCAGGAAATGACCTGATATTACCATTTACAGAGAGACACCAAGCAAGGTGTCCCTTTGTAATGCCGAGGGAGGTCTGGAAGGAAAGAATGAAGAACTTGGCTTTTTGGGCACTGGCCCTTCGCCTCTGGAGCAACTTGCCCATGCAGATCTGCCTGGCTCCCTCTCTGGGTGTTTTCAGGACTAAAGTTAAGACCTGGCTATATGGGCAGGCTTTCCCTCCTGCCGTATCTTAAACTTTGACATTTTTGCCATCTTGGATTCATTCATAGTATATGTTCATTGGTTTCACTGTTTTTAAAAATTTGTAATGTCGCCCAGAGTAGACCTTTGGTCTAGATGGGTGGGGTAGAAGATAGATAGATAGATAGATAGATAGATAGATAGATAGATAGATAGATAGATAGATAGATAGATAGATAGATAGATAGATAGATAGATAGATAGATAGATAGATAGATAGATAGATAGATAATGAGCTGACTTTGTTTTTCATTAGTCAGTGACTTCTTACCCAAACACAAAGCAGATGTCAGGGCTGTTTTTCAACAAGTGTGAATGGTGCAAAAGAGGGCTGACTTTATTTTTCATTAGTTAACGACTTCTTACCCAAACACAAAGCAAATGTCAGGGCTGTTTTTCAACAAGTGTGAATGGTAGTGAACAAAAGAGGGTATCTTACAGACGATCTTGACTGTGGTCATTGGTGTTGACATGTTTCAGGTTGCCATTTGCAACCTTAGTATCCTTTTTCCTTCAAGCAATGTGAGCACAATATTGTGCCATTTCCTGGCATTTTGAGTTGAGGATACAGAACTACAATATCCCACAGTCATAAACTGGAGTTTGTTTTTTTAAGATTTGGACTTCCTGGCTTTTTAAAATGGAAGTTTAAATATAGATATACAGTATCTTAGGAGCTTTTTTTAAAAAAAATTACCAGACAAAGAGGACAGGTGGAATTGTTGAAACTATGATCAGATATAACCACTAAAGCTCTGTGAACAGCAAGTAAGATCAGCCACAAATCAAAACACAATAATTTCACAGCTTAAGTGAGTGTGCTTCTAAATATTTGTTCTCCATTCTTCTAAACATCTTTTGCAACATCTTTTTACAATCAGACACAGAATCCCTATACAGCTGTGAACAGCAAGTAAGATCAGCCACAAATCAAAACACAATAATTTCACAGCTTAAGTGAGTTCTAAACTAAATATTTGTTCTCCATTCTTCTAAACATCGTTTGCAACATCTTTTTAAAACCAGACACAGAATCCCTATATAGCACAAATGCCTGTTTGACCAAGAAGGAGTTAAAAAGTTCCCTTCCTGAGAGTCAGCTAATTGGATCTTACTGACATGGTCATGTCTGACCCACATCAGGAGCTGAATTCCCTTTTGAAGACTTCTATAATATTTGTTCTCCATTCTTCTAAACATCGTTTGCAACATCTTTTTAAAACCAGACACAGAATCCCTATATAGCACAAATGCCTGTTTGACCAAGAAGGAGTTAAAAAGTTCCCTTCCTGAGAGTCAGCTAATTGGATCTTACTGACATGGTCATGTCTGACCCACATCAGGAGCTGAATTCCCTTTTGAAGACTTCTATCAAGAGCCTAGTCTTAGAAATCCTGAGAGAATATTTACTGAAAGTACTCAAGGCAGCACCACAATTGGTCTGCAACGGGGATGAGTCGAACACGACTGGACAAAAATTGTCAAGGGGAACCTTTACCTTTACCTTTACTCAAGGCAGCACCACAATTGTTCTGTGCTTTTGTAATGCAAAAATATTATGAATATACCTTAAAGAATTGTATGCTAATTCCTGGAGGTACATGGCAGAATGTCCCTTTCTGGAGGAGTGTCACTGCATTGCTATCTTGAAAGCAAGCCTTTTTTTTTTAACTCTTCAAAAATTTTGATTACCTTTTGAGGAGTTTTCATTGTCCTCTAAACATATCCCCTTTTCATCCACAAACCTGAAGCAATGTGTCTACCTTGGAATGTTCTTGTTCTTAAGCATTTTCCATGAATACTCAGTTTATCATCACCATTTTGCCCTTTTGAAAGGCCTTTTTGTGGACCAATATTTTAGCTCCTGCAGCCTGGATTCCTTCCAGATAAAAATGTGGTAGGGCCAACCGTTCTCTTTCAAGGCTGCAGCCTGGATTCCTTCCAAATAAAAAATGTGGGTAGGGCCAACCGTTCTCTTTCAAGTTAAGCAAGTTTTACTTGATCTGCTTTAAATCTGAGGATATTTAAGGTTGCTTGTTTCTGCATGGGGGGGGATAAAACCTGTTTTACCTTTTTTTTAAATAACTTGACAACCTGCCCCAAATTTGACACAGAGCAAGAGCCATATGTTACATCTATACCAGATCTGATGAAGTCCAGCTTCAAAGTTATAGTTGTTTTTTTTGTTTGGGCTGACCTCATTTTTAGAATTGCTTTACAAATTGGTTTCCTTTACTGCAAAATAACATCACTCTTGTGCAGTGATAATCTCGTGGTAAACTGGCCTGAATCTTAGTTTCAGGAATAACAAGGGATATAAATCAAATGATCAAATTAACATAATCTGTTTGAAAATCAATAACTAATTAGCTGTTCCCTTTGGTTGTCTTGAAACTAGGGTTAGTACATTAGAGATAACCCAGGATTGGAAAAGTATTTGTGAGCATCTGAGTGTCACAGCCTGAGCTTCTCTCACCCCCAAGAGTGTGCAAATTAGCTTGCTTTTTTGTGATTTGTGATTGGTTTTCAGAAGTTATGGGATTTGTTCCAAGTGTCATTTCACAACTGGGTGAAACCTTATTGCTTAATGTAACAAGCTAGAAGAGGCCCATTGAATCAGTGGGGATTTCGTGAGTCAACTCCTCTGTAAATTGCGTTGATTGAAATGGACCAACCTATTTATGAATTATTGGGCTAAGCAACAGGATTTCAGCTGCTAAAAAGAGTGCTTTTAGTCACCTCTCTGCAACACATTTCTGTTTATTTCTGGCCTGGGGTAAGTAGTATCGGACAGGAGGAAAAGACACCATCTTCGCAATCAGCTACCATTCATTCTACAGTAGAAGACATAGCTGTATCTGGAAGAGTAATTTCACTCAGGAGATGGTGGGGTGAAAAGGAACATTTTAAACACCCTTTCTTTCAGTTCTTTGAGCTTCATTAGCAGTCATGCTGATTAAAGATCTCCCATGTCAGGCCCTGTCTGACCCTTAGCACCAGTGTAACCACATATCACTGAAAATGGAGACATTCTCACCTGAAAGGAAAAAAAAGAGAGAGAGAGAGACCACATGGATAACATACACAATTGCAAATTTATATGTACAAATTTGAGATGGTGAGTATTCATAAAAAAGAAGAAGAAAAAGAGAGACCACGTGGATAACATACACAATTGCAAATTTATATGTACAAATTTGAGATGGTGATATTTGTATTCATAAAGGAATACAAATATCCCTATCCCAGGTGCACCTAATGTGGGCCCGCCCTACAGAACCAACCCGTCCACTCACATGATGCCCTGCCGCCAGCCTCCCGCTCTTCCTGCCAATCCCGGAAGTAGCTCTACCATCTCCTGGCTCAGCTGGCCACTCTAGGCAGGGGACGGGAGGACAGGTCTCCCCACATGCCTGCTGAGTGTCCAGAAGAGCAGGAAGACTGCGGAGTTACTTCCGCAATTGGCGAGAAGAGCGGGAGGTTGGCAGCGCGTGAGCGGACGGGCCAGTTCCAAGGGCCAGACCCGCATTAGGTGCACCTGGGATGGAGATATTGGTATTTGCTTATGAATACAAATAACACCATCTCTGGTACAAATGCAAATTTAGAAATAATTAAATAATGATCATATGCCATCAAGTCAATTCTGCCTTATGGTCACCCTTTTTCAGGGTTTTCCAGGTAGAAGTAGTTTACCATTCCCTTCTTCTGGGGGCCCCGGAACTGTGCAGCTTCCCAAGGGTTTACCATTCCCTTCTTCTGGGGGCTACCTGGAACTGTGCAGCTTGCCCAAGACTTACACATGTTATCTCTTCTCCTAGGAGGCTCAGTGGAGAATTGAATTCCCAACCTCTGGCTCTGTAGCGAGATATATAAACTACTGAGCTATCCAGCATGTTTTGAAATAAACTGCTTATCATAGTGGGGAGTCTATGACTTATGTGCCTGCTTGGTTTGCCTACAGGATAGAGATTATCAAGTTTCCTTTTCTGTCTTGCCTAAGTTCTTTGGACTGAAGTTCATTGTTTTACATCACACGCACATGGGAAATCTCAGAAAACTGCTGCAGCTAATGCATAAGGTGCCAGTTGCATGCCTGGCCAAGCACCCAGCACCACCTGTTTGGGCACCTGCCTTGCACTCAGTACATTCCTGGTTCCACAATAATTATCTGAATTGGCTTCTATTATTTCCTTCCCATTCATAATAAAGACCTATAGGATTCTGGCCTTTATGCTTCAAGCAGACTTGGACTGAAGAACCCCTAAAGCAGAACTCTCCTTCAAAGAGGCAACTGCCCTCTGGTCACCCTGCAGACGGAGGACTGTCCCCTGTTAAGCAGGACCACGGCCATCTTGCTTGAAGTTCCCATGTTCTGCCCATACTTCCTGTCATACAGAACAACAGAAAATATAGCAAATGTGAACTTACACTTAATTAGTCAACACTCTTGTCTCTCCTTCTGAAGCTCCTCAGCCTTCCTGGCACCTTTAGAGATGAACTGAGATTACTGGTGTTGTGTTCTCCAGTGAATTATTAATTGTCATTTCACCATCGTCATTACTGTAATAACACAGTCAAGGTACTTGGTGTCCCCAAAAGAAAAACAGCTGCTTGTTGCTTCAAGGAGTACACCAGATGATGGAGCCCATCAATCCGGAAAATGCCCACCTTAGCTATGTTGGCTTCATGAAAGCAACTATCAGTAGCTCTTCCTACTCTTTCTCCTCCAGATCCAAATATGTTCCTTATGGATCAGATTCGTTTCCCTTCTTATTCTGTTTCTTTCTTCTGAGCTCCAGAAGTCAACTTACTGACGACCTCTTTACTTGTCTAGGAAACTTTATTTGCAGCTTGGCATTTTCACTGATATTTGATTAAATCTCATGTAATAAATTTGGTGGTTTTACCCTCAGTTTTATGCTGTGCTGCTGGTGATTTTAGCTTGTTTTTATCAGGTATCTTTCAATATCCTTGCACTTTTTCCGCCCTTCTTTTTTTTTAATGTCTTCCTGTTATCTCCCAGAGACCTTTGGTTTTTGATCAATTTAAGTATACTGTACTTGATTAATAAATAAGCAAATTAACCTTGTGTACAGAACTGGGCCAAATGATATTCTACAACTGTTGGAAGGTACAGTACCTTCACCCATCTACAGCCTTAGTCAACCATGTCTTTTCCTGGGATAATATAAATGGCATTTGAAAATAGAGTCATTTTGCCCCACTTCTCCTTTACCTGGTTTTCCTTGTGCCTCTCCCAGATAACAACTTTCCGTGGCTTCCAGCCCCTGAACATGCTTGATCCTGTTCAAAGTACTTTTCAGGAGGCAATTCCCCTATTTTCAAAGTATTTTGAACTTCTGCATACCTCAGAATTCACCTCAATTTGCAAACACCTCCTTTTTGGTTCTCCATGGCGCTGTTTCAGTGACAGATTCAGCCTCTCAACCATCTGAGTCTTCTGTTTGAAGGAATAAGTGGAACTACAGTACATCAACATTTTGCAGTATATCCTTAGTTCCCAACAGAAGCACTCTTGTTCAGGATTCCAGCCAGCCAATCAGTCACCTATGCTCTTTTCCGGAATACTTTGTTCTACCATGACCACCACCACTATTGATTTTGTTGGTATTAATTGATAGGGATGTTATCAGTGACATCCTTTATTCTTCAGAGTCAGAGAAGTAGGAAATGTCTAGGTATGGACAGATTAAAGTTTCTATTATTTATACTTCAAAATGCTCATCTGTTTTGGACTGAATATCTTTCTGCATAATCTGTAAACATATCCAGGTGAAGAAACACACGACAACTTTGTGGTTTTTCTTGCACCCAAGTACGTTCTTGCCTGCTGCACAAAGAACCTTTGGTTTTAAAGTCTATGCAGCTGAACCAAACTTTCAAGGTCCATTGGCAAAATGTCTGCTGTGATTCCATCTTCTCAATTCATGTCCTCCTCTGCTGGGGTTCCTTTGTGGCACTGATCGTAGCAACAGGAGCTCCTGGAAGCAGCAGTGAGCTGCCAAACAGTACTGTGCAGCCTGCAGTAAGGGTTTGGGACCAAACTATACTGTACAGTCTATTCCTTAACTGTTAAAAGCTCTCTGATCATCCTTATGGTGCAGGGATTAAACTGCAGTACTGCAGTGAAGACTCACAACCTGAGTTCAATCCTGGGTTCAGGTAGCCATTTTGTGGCTGACTTAGCCTTCCTTCCTTCCAAGGTCAGTAAACTGAATATCCGGTTTGCTGGTGGGGTATGTCAACGTATAGCACACAAAATTAAATTGTAAACCGCCTAAAAAGTTCTTTAAGCCCGATGTGGTGGTATATAAGCAGCACACTTTAATCCCACAAGCTTTTCTGATCTGATGTAGCTTTCAAATTAGCTTGGCTTATTCTGTGATTGGTCATCAGAAGTTATAAGCACTGGCTTCATCTGGCATTCAGATTGTGCAGACACGATATAAGTCTGCTTTCTGCTTTTAATCTGATCTTATGCTGACCAGATCTAATCCTAAAAGCTACTGTTTTAAGTTGCCGTAATGCCTCTGACAGAACATAGCATCTCTGTAACTTATCTTGCACTGGAGAGGGGAAAAATTCATTGGTCAAGGTGAGAGGCATCAATGGGTACCAGTGTAACATAGTGCAAGGGTAGGCAACATGTGGTTCACAGTTGTTTTTGTGTCACAAAGCCCCAACCCCCACTCCTAAATTTTAAAACATGTTCAAAAAGTACCCTCCTGCACTCCAGGAAGGATGGGGGGCAGGATTTGTTATGTTTCAAAGGTCATGCTCCCTGGGATGTATTCTGGGAGTGATAATTCAAAAAGCTAACTTTTCCCATCTCTGATTTTTAGCACTTCTTTAACAAATAACAAGTGGCCTATCACTAAAGATATGAGACCCAGGCGATACCTGCTCCTAGTTTCAGCAGCAAAATATTAGGGGGTATGCATTTGGCAAGAGGTAAAAAATTCAACTGTTTTTCTCTTTTCATGTCTACACGAAGAACCGGCTACCTGAGCCACAGAGAGGCTGAACACGCCGTGTTTGATACATTTGGGATGGCAACTAGCCACAGTAGCTTTGCACCTTTTAGTTCCTGCCCAGCCCATGAAACTCACCTCACCCAGGACTTGTTTAAACTTCTCCAGCTGTTTCTGACATGTGCTAGGATTTCACAAAGCTGATGCCATCAACTCCCACACACAGTGAGTGAGAGAGAGAGAGAGCAAGAGAGAGAGAGAGCAGGGACACAGTGTGCAAAGAAGACCCTCTCTCTCTCTCTCTCTCTCTCTCTCTCTCTCTCTTTGTGTGTGTGTGTGTGTGTGTGTGTGTGTGTGTGTGTGTGTGTGTATACACAATGAAAGCCACAAAGGTATGACCCCCCTCCTCACGCCTCGTAACATCTGTTAATTGCTTAAATCAAAGTCATACTACAAACAACAGCCCCCTCCTACGTGGATGATTCAAATATATTTTTTCACTATAGAAAAGTGGTTCCAAACCTTGGGTCCCCAGATATCTTTGGACTACAACTCCCAGAAATCCTGGCCAGCACAGCTAGTGGTGAAGGCTTCTGGGAATTTTAGTCCAAGGATATATGGGAACCCTTAGAACAAGGATTGGCAAAGTAGACTACAACTCCCATCAGCCCTAGCCAGCACAATCCATGGTAAGGGATGCTGGGGGCTGCAGCTCAGCAACATCTCAAGAACCACATTTGCCCACTTCAGCTTTAGAGGAACTGGCATGATTCACTTGTCCTGGAGACCTAGGCCTACCTAGATTGCTCTACTATTGTCTCAGTTTTGTTGCACATCTACAGGTTGGAGTTATGTTGGGTTTGTTTGTTTTTTTAAGAGTTGAGCTCCTAATATTTGTGTGGTTTGCACAGAAATAAACATATGCTTCTTCTCCTTAAAGCTGCACCAGGACTGGCCCAAGCATTTGTTCTCCCCGAGGTAGAAAAAATAAACCATGTCCTCCTTTTCCAAGTCAAAGTGCATAATATCCAAGGCTTGCCAAATTATTCAAGCATCTGAGACAGAAAACCTGCACGTGTCTCCCTGTGGGAGTAAAAATGCAGTAATTAAATCACTAACAATTTACTGGTTTAAATCAGCTGTCTAAATAATAGCCAGCAGCTTCACAGAGGCTGCTGGAGGAGAGTACTTTTTTTTAAGAAGTCCAAGTAAAAGAACTTAGCCTTTTTGATTCTCACTTTAAAAATTACTTTTGCTAAATTTGACTTATTTAAACCCTTAAGATGAATTATGATTGCTAGATCAGCAGCCGCCAATCCTCTGAGTTTTTAGAGCCAAACCTGAGAGCAGGGTGGGATGGGGGTCTTGTGACACCCTGGGGTGGATCTTTGCAGTGATCCAGGGGTTAGGCTGAGAAATGGTTGTGAGGAGGGGATTCTTCTCCAGGCATTATAGCACTACTATAGTCATGGCTTGTGCAATAAGAAGGCTTATGAGAGGTGATGCTGGTTCTCTGCCTTGCTCCAATTTGTGTGATGGATTCAACATCAGCATCCAAAAAGCCAAGAGCAAGGGAAAGGCATTGGGCAGACAGTATGAGGGTGAGTGCACCTGGGTCCAACATACCATTTAGAGCAATACAGTCAGATACATCTTAATGCTGAGCCAATGATTCCCAACATCAGCTGGAAATGGGTGGAGATAAGTATCTAGCCTTTAAAGTGGAATCACACAATAAATCACTCCTCTAGCACTGCTCATCCAAAAGTTTGTCTCTTCTCCTAGAGAGCTGGAAAAGGAAATATGTTCCTTAAGACTCTAGCTGGTGCCAGTGACCAGGCAGCTGGATTCACAGATCATTATGTCAGCTGAGAGTGCATATGGCTAGACTAAAAACTATGCATCTGAAAGAAACACCAATCACTGCAACACTTAGAAAGAAGACGGATATTTTTTATGGAAGATGTTCCTCCATTTGAAGACCTGCCCGAGGACAATAATCCTCTTGAAGATGGCTTTCTATATAAAGGGCTAGCCATCCCAAGTCTGATTTTTAAGAAAAAGTACCATGGTGTTCTGGAGTATGGCAGATGGCACTGCAGGGAAAATTAACCATCAAACTGTCTATAGCTAAAGGTATAAAGCACTTGCATTCTTTTCTAGCAGACTGCACCATCTTATTGTTTATTTTTTAATAATTATAACTGAATCCCTGGATGTTGGTCTTTCCCTTTTAAAGTTGTTTTTTTTAAGTTATACATATTTTTATATACTTTGATTTTTAATTATTGATATTTTAATTGCTTTTAAGTCTGTCACTTTGAATTTATTATTACTTGTTTTAATAGTGTGGGCTTTTAAAACAAGGTTAAAAGACTGCCTTGGGTCTTTTAACTGGAGAAAGGTGAAATATAAATGCGAGAGAGGGAGAGATGTGAATAGTAGAGAGAATAAGAGACTTCCTGAAGAATACAGGATGTATTGGTCTTTATAATATACTTAGAATATAATTTTCCTAAGAAAGCTTCTTCATAAGATTTTGAATACGATTCTGCTGCAGGGGATGTGGGGGTGGGAGGGAGAAAATGTACAGAATATATGCATACGTTGATAATATTGTTAATGTTGTCCTTATGAAAATTGTTAATAAAAAATTAAAAAAGAAGAACTATGGTGAAAGAGATACAGGATGTTGAGTTTCCCCAACTACAATGAACATCTGGGCAGCAAACTCAGTAGAAACAAGGTCATCATGAATTCTAATTATGTCTTCTAACGTATAAGCTCCGCTTCCCTGTTTGGTGCCATCTTTAAATTAGATAAACACTCCTATTTCTGTATCAAAGTCATTTATAAATATGTTGAAAATAATGAATCAGGAGAAAACCTTGCAGCAACTCATCTGTCACATTTTTTGTGTTCTTTTTTTCCAAAGTGATCATAAACCAACTGTTCAATGACCTGTTCTAGAGTGCTTCTGCATTTCCAGGGTGATCACCGGGTGGAGCAAAGAACCCAAAGGCATTCACAGGGTGGAGCAGCATCCTGCCCACCCCCAGGACCCCCAGTATTAAATCCAGCATTTGTGGGGTTTAAATTGTTAAAAAATATACATGACAAGAATACAAGTGAAGAAAAAGGAAGGAAAACTAGAGAAGACACTGAGTTTGCGTAAACAGAGTTGAAGCTTTTTGCCTTAGAAATGAAATTTCTTTTCCTTTCCTACTGCAAAGTTATTGATTGAATACACAAAGTTTATTGTTTAGGGATTTCATTGTTCAATCCAATGTCGTGTGTGTGCCATTACAGCCACAGCTGCAACAGAAGAGATCACAGCACCACTAAAATCAGATCCAGGGGAGAAGAGCCAGGAGGGAAGGAGGGCACAGAGAAAGGACAGAAGGTGTAGAAGCAGCACTGGAAAGTTTCTTCCACCTTTTTCAGCAAAAAATAAATCATGTGTCATTGATACCTCTGTATCTTTAAAACACACTTGGACTGAATAGTTATCTGAATAGATATCAATTTCCAAAAGAAGGCAGTCCTCTGACGGCTCCTCAAATAGAGAACAGCTCC